ACCTGACATCAACTAGGCAGAAAACAAATCATATTTTAATACCTCATTGACCATTTATGCATTTGATGCGTGTATGTAAAACTCATTCAAATAAACAAGTTCACTTTAAATTCATGAAAGTAGAAACTTTATATATATATATATATATATATATATTATTTACTGTTAATCACACTATTGTACATGCAATATTGCATATATATATACATCAAAACATATATATTCACTGTACAAAGGCTTACTCACAAAACCAATCAATCAAGTACGTGGGCAAGAAAAGATTTACATTACTAGCTTGTACATGTACATCTCTAACCCATGAATATATATACATGAATTAATTATATGTGTATACCAATATCGATATCTGTAGGACTAGTGTTTCCTAGCAAACTTTCATCATAATATAAAATTATAATATTTAAATAAATAGTTTGCATATACGCACTTGTTTTATATATAATTATAAATGAATCAGCTTTATTTGTATATAAAGCACCACTATAATCGATTAATCCAACTAACAAAATAGTGGCAAACTTCAAAGCTTCATCGTGGCTTTATTATTCAAATCTGTAATATTTTTATTTTTTATTTTATTTTTCTTTTCCAGTTTTGTGCATCCTTGACTAAAACAATAGTCAATGTTAAACATTCCTCATTCGCGCGCTTTACAAAAGAAAACAAATTCTTTTTTTTTCTTTTGTTTTTTTTTTTCGGGTGTCCATACATTATGAAAACGCATGGCGAAATTGAGCCTTCGAATCTTTTGGTTTCAGCATCAGTGGTTACAGTTTCTAATTACAATTACATAACAAACAAACTGAATCTTTCTTGTCTTTTATTTTCTTTTCTCGTTCGGCGTGCATATCATGATTCATGCTTACAATAATTCTCACAAATATATGATAGCATATGAAGACAAAACCTTATACACTTATATATAAATTAATTACATATCCATATATGTATAAGTACAAACATATACACACACACTCAATTGTTAACCTTATGTTTGATTCATCACGCATAAAAATTGAGAATCTACGCAATCAGTTTGATTTCAAAAACACCATAAATTAATCTTTACTATTTTTGATTTCTATAAACCCTCCTCTAATACCAATTATTGAGTTTTAATCAAATAAATCCATGTAGAAATCAAAATAAATCATAAATTCAGGAGAGAGGTTTTTGATTTCATACCTAATTAGAAGATTAAACCTTAAATACCTTTTGAGAATTCCTTAGTGCCCTTTGAGAAATCTGAAAAATTAGAGCGCTTTACCCCCTTCTGAGAATTGTCGATACGATAGGCCTGAATAAAATCCTTATATATAACAACAACAGGGGGGACGGCTTCTCTACAAACAAGCATATCTAAGTATCCTTTCCTATCATGAAAACTTAGATATCAATGGTTAGAATTAAATCACACTAAATAAGTTAGAAAACCACAATTCAACGGTATAAAACCATACTCCCAATTAGACCATCAAATTGGAAAGTAAAAACCCAATCCATCAAGTATTAATAATTACATTGCAATCATACTTTAAAAAACATAGTGCATAGGACCATAAAATAATTTTTATTATTTAAATATATATATAAAAATTCCAACAGGACCTACATATCTACTTACACACACAACTTATTATGTATTTTTTGAATTCAAAAAACTTTTGTGATAAATTGACTTATAATTAATATTTAAGAAAAAAAAAGTAATTGATTATTTATTTTATTAAAGTTAACCAATTACAAAAAGTCATTCAAGCAAATGTGTATGCATTATTTAACTTTATGATTGAATAATTTTTTGTGATTCTTGAGGATCATATGGTCCCAATAACTTGATAACAAATTGCTTGAATATCCACTCAGCACTCCATTCTATATATCTATATAGATATATGTATGTATATATAGCATAAGGGTGTGCCAAAGTTTTTGAGGGGACTTGAGTAGTGCTTCTTTATGCAGTCAATTGAATGGGGTCAAACATTTCAGCTAGCTTTCTGGAGTAACATGGCCATTCATTGAAATTAAGAGATAGATGGAATGATATATATATATATATATATATATATATAGTTGAAAATTTTATTGCCACTTGGTTTGGATGCAGCACCATGTATCCTTAGCGCCGAATTGTTTGTTCACTTCTCAAAAGTCAGAATACCAAACAGAAAGTAGGGGGGTTCATACATCAAAACTCAACGGTCTTATATTTCAGCTTGCTTCATTTCCCCTATCAAATAATTGGTTTTTGTTGAAGATTCCAGTGACCCATCATTTATCATTACTTTTTTTAATAATTTTTTAATGTTTTTTAGTTTTTTTTAGTCATAACTTTAATTTTGTCACAACTTGGTTGGCTCAATATTTAAAGAAACTCGAATGTTAGTATACAAAATTTAATAAAGAAATCATCCTGAAAATATTCAAAATCCAACAGCTCACATTGTGTTTTCACAATAAGAAATTCTATAATAAGGTTTTTTTTTTTTTTTAAGAAGTATAATATAAACAAAATGGTTTCAACATGTTCACAAGAAATTTTAATTTTGAGTTGTTGATAGACTTTGAAAACCCTGAATTCTTAATAGAGAATTTGAAAATTGAAAATTAATATACTTATAACTTATTTATAAAGATATAAAATCTTTAAAGAAGTTAGGTTTTGACTATGAGCTATTTTGGTGAAAAAAATAATAATGATGATGGTGAGACCATGAGCACACTGCATTTGGATGGAATACGGCAAAAACATACTGAACACTTTCATACATTTTTTTACCTTGATAATGATTGATATGTGTATCAAAGATAAGGAATCATGACGAGAGCCATCAACCAAGAAATTTTTTGGTTTTTTTTTTCGTTTTAGAAACTCACATGCAACAAGTTAACAACTCTTTTTATTAATTCAAGGATTGGCCTAGAGGATTGGTGTTACAAGTGAGATTTGTCTTATATTAAATTTGGATGGGAATTAAAAGGTGTATAAATAGGTGGGTATACAGTACTACTCAATAGTTCGAGTTTTTGGGTAAATAGGTAAGCGCCTACCCGTTACAATTGGTATCAGAGTCAGACCCAGTCCTTAATCCGGTGTCACACCAAGCACCTGGCCCGGAGAGCGTCAGGGTCTGTCTCTCGGTAGGTGGGGTAGTCTGACCGTAACGAGGGCGTTGCGCTAGTTCGGGTGGGGGAGAATGTTACAAGTGAAACTTGTCCCATATCGGATTTGGATTGGAATTGAAGGGGGTATAAATGGGTGGGCATGCAACACTACCCAATAGTTCGAACTTTTGGGTAAATGGATAAATGTCCACCCGTTATAATTGGCCTAGTTAGAAAAGATTTGGACCATGTCCAACAAATATAAAAACAATTCCTTTTATCTCCACTATTACCTAATTCTATAAATATATATAGGGTTACGGGCAATAAATACCCTTTATAATATGCATATATGGTATATAATTTTCGATTTTTAAATGTCTCGTATTCACACACACATGCCTCTAGTGAGGTTTGAACCCCTTATTTTCCTTTGAAAAGTAGAGATTTAGTACCTTTATACCATTGACGTATTGGTCCTACCTTTACTTTTAGTGCAAACATGGGCCTGTTGTCAATGGAGTAATTAAAAGACTAAATTGTCTTTATGTAACTGTATAAAAAGGGTAAAAAAAAACTAAGTAAATGTAAAATGATTAAAATACATAACCCTAAATATATATGATAAGAGTGTTATTTGCTTATAATGTAAACATTATGGGTGATTTGGGGAGAGCAAAATGGTATTTACGAAAGTTATTACTTAAAATAGTCACGTGCCCTCTTCAAGGTGATTTTATGATGGTAAAACTTAACGGATTAAAATATTCAAAATAAAGGATATAATTGTTATTTGTTCAAAATGTAAACATTAAGAGTGTTGTTATCACTTTACCCATATATATATTGCACCATAACTAGCTAACTGCAACACAATTGGCCAATTCTTGACGGTAACACCAATTTCTTTTAAGAATTGATCTATTCTCTTGAGAAATGACTGTTTTGTCTGTGAATTAAATCAGTTTCAATAACAATATGTTTAAAATTTGTTGCGAACCAACCAGTTTGCTCAACCATTGATCTCTAGATTCTCTATAATCATTTGATTTCACCGGTTAAAAAAAAAAACCATATCCTTTTATTTCCACCATATATATATATATATATATATATATATATATATATATATATTGTAGTACAACCAGCCGACTCCGCAACACAATTGACCAATTCTTGACTGCAACAACGGTTTCTTTTAAGAATCGAACGATTCTCTCAAGGTGTGACTGTTTTATCTATTATTTAAATGAGTCTCAATAACAATATGTTTAAAATTTGTCACGAATCGATGGATTTGCCAAACCATAAATCTCTAGATTTCTACAATCACTTTCTACCACGGTTCAAACAGAACTGTGGTAAAAAGATGTTTTTTTACCACGGGTTTTAACATAGCCTTATTAAAAAGGATATATTCATGGTAAAAATCTGTGGTTAAAAATTATTTTTCTTGTAGTGAAGGGTACTCAGATAAAGTTCAAAACAACTTTTTAGTATTAGAAAACATAAAAACATTTAACAATTTTTGTGAATGGTAACATCGGGGTAAATGCAAAAAACACCCCTGAACACCCCTGTATTTTTTAAAATGTGCAAATAACATCCCTGTTATTCAAAAGTCACCTCTATAGTTTCAAAATAGTGCAAATAAGGACTTTTTGTCGGAAGGGTAGGTAGAAATACAAATATACCCCCCAATATTTTTTATTCAATAATAATAAAAAAATTGAAGAAATTAAAATTATCCAAATAGACATTGACCTAAACTACGTCGTTTTGGGTGATGTAGGTAATGAAATCTTATTTATCTCAGGTTTAATATTTTTTTTTTGGGCGAATTTCTCTCTCTTCTCTTAACTCGCCGGTGTTCATGGTGAAGGAAGGTTTTCATTCAAGCCACTTTTGTCCCTCGGCCTCGCCGTTGACCGCCGCATCATCAATCTCATATCAGACCGCTTGTAAGCATTCTTACTAATATCATAACTAGCTTTCTGTGTCTTCGACAATCCAATAAGCGAAGCCTTGGACTTTAGATTCAAAGAGAATTGCTGAGACGAGGAGTTCGAGTTCGGATTCTAATTAGACAAATTTGAATTTCCTTCGGTGGATTATTTGTGCTCGTAGAACGCGTTTCGATCGAACCAATCGTATTCAACATCTTTGGATAGCCAAAACGATTCTGGAGGGAAATCAGGAGGAACTTCGGTGAGATCTGGGTTCTCCCGCAGATTGTCGCCGTCGGCTAGAGTTTCGCAAGCTATTTTCCGGTCATTGCCTCCGCCACAGACTGAAACTATGGTTTCAAGATCCACTTGTGGCATGCTGCTGGAAATTAAGAAAGTCTAGAGAGAGAAAGAAAAGGTTTTAGAAATAGAGAGAATTGAGAGGATAGTGGTAGGAAAGGAAGAATATAAAGCCAGAGAAAGAAATGAAGGTCTTGATTGATCAGTGCTGGGTGGGTGGTTTGGTATGATTTTCGTACATTACATACTCCTTTTCATTTTCTATAGAGAGGGGGAGAAATAACTTTTGCGTTAAAAAAGTACAAACTTCTAAAACGTTGATTAACCAATCAAGTGAAATGGGACTATAGGGAACCAGAAATCGATCATCCCACTGGGTCAGTGGTTACTTAATATTGCCATCGACACTTTACGTCGTCCTCGCTGGACTCGTCTGCAACGGATCTTCCGTTTGGAACGGGCCGTCCTTCGGGGCGATCTCAACAAGATTATATTCGGTTTCTCAATTTTTTTTTTTTTTGTTATTCACGCCGTCCAGATGAGGTGTGTTATTCATGCCGTTTCGTTTGCTCAATTTTTTGCTCGAACAAAGTTTTAATGGCGAACGAATTGGACTCAGCCAAGTTGGGGTTCGGGTTGGTCTGTAACTGATGTTTAATGGTGAATGTGGTTGTGGGGCGGCATTGCGGTGTTGAGTGGTGGCGATCTCTTCTCAGTCCTGCACCCTCATTGGACCAGCCTGCGCCTACGCCGGCGACCTGTTCTTCATAGAGAGAGAAAAGAGAGTGCAAAGGAGTTAAAAGAGGGAGCTCATCCAGTGTGAATACAAGCAACGCAAAAAAAGTGAGCAGCCAATAGACTGCTGACACGTATGTGAGTGTGCTAGTAGTCCCTCATTCTCGTCTTGGATTTCTCTCATCCCAAACATCATTTAACATATATCACTTAAAAGGAAGGAGATGGCTCAGGTAAGGTGATCCAATCTCCCCTTTTTTGTTTGTCATTGTTATGAATGCTTTGTCATCAATCATTAACAATTATGTGGAGAGAGAGAGCCACTGCTTTCAAGTACCACTGGAGATGTGGAGCTCACAAAATCACTCACTTATCTTATGCTGATGATTTACTTCTTCTTTGCCATGGTAACATTACTTCTGTATCAATACTCAAATGTGCCATGGACTATTTTTGTTCTATGTCTGGCCTAGAAATCAACCTCACAAAAAGCACGGTCTTCTACTCAGGCATTGATCCACATACAGAGCAATCTATATAAGATCTACTTGGTATTGGGATTTGCTCTCTCCCAGTCAAATACTTGGGGGTGCCCTTGATCACAACCAGTCTCAAAGCTTCACATTGTAGCATTCTCATTGAAAAGATTACACACAGAATCTCTCATTGGACCTCTAGGTCATTGTCATATGTAGGGAGATTACAACTTGTTAAGGCAGTCCTTGTGTCCACTCAAATTTACTGGAGTGGAATTTTCATTCCCCCAAAAGCTGTTATTGATGAACTCAATAAGATTTTCAGGTCCTTCCTATGGTCAGGGCCAGAAATGAAAGCACATGGAGCTAAAGTGAGGTGGAGTAAGGTCTGCAAGCCTAAGGAATTGGGGGGTCTAGGTATCCCAAATCTTGAACTCTCTAATAAAGCTGGAATCTTGAGACTCATTTGGGAGCTGCACTCTGATTACACTGATAGGTTATGGATCAATTGGTGTAAAACTTACCTAATCAGATCAAGAAACTTCTAGACTCTAAGGATCCTATCTCCATGCTCTTGGAGCTGGAGAAAAATTCTACAACTTAAACACCATGCAAGACTGTTAATCAAGCACAACATTGGTAATGGTAGAGATACTTACTTCTGGTGGGACAATTGGGCTCCTGGTGGCCCTCTTTGTTCTAGATTCCCAATTGCACTACTCATTGATGCTGGAATAGATGAGGATAGCATAGTGGAGAGGTTCTTAACCACCTCATCATGGTCTTTCCCACCTTCACTCACTGCTGCTATTCCTGAGCTTTTCTTTCTCCAGCAGCCTTGTCTCTCAAGGTCTGATACAAAGCAATGGACTGTATCTTCCTCAGGTCAATTCTACTTGAAGCACACATCATTATTCCTAGCCCCTCGCTCTGATTCTGCTTCTTGGTACATTCTTTTTTGGCACTCCCCTACAATCCCTCGTATGAAGTTTAATTTATGGTTGGCAGTGCAAGGTAGGCTCCCAACATTGGATTGCAAATCCATGGCAAAACACCATAACTTGTGTTCTCTTGGTCACAACAGCCCTGAATCTCACGATCATTTGTTTATCAACTGTTGTTTCATCTCCCCAATTTGGAGGTTCCTTAAGTTCAAATGCAAGTTCCACACTTCAATCACAAATTAGAAAGCCTTAATATCTTGGATCAACAGTAATTGGAAGAGGAAGACTCCTATGAACTTCATTCACAAGATTTGCTTCTCAGCCATGGTATACCACACTTGGGAAGAATGGAACAAAAGGGTCTTCAAGCAGAAACACTCTATACAGAGGATCGTCCTCCGAAAAATTTGTTTCACTGTGTCTTTAATTCTGAAGTTGGGATTTCTTAAAAAATGCTCAGGGTCAAGAAGAATCCTCTCCGACTGGAACGTGTCTCGATCTTACTGTCGCCCCCCTCTAAGGCCTCCTGACTAGCTCTCGCCGGAGTTGAGCTCCTTGCTTGGTCTTACCGGATCGCTCACTAACACCGTCCTTTAACAATTTCTTAAATCTGTTAATGGAGGTTATTAGTTTTTGGGTTGGGTTTCTCTCTTGTTGGCCTTCTTGGGCTTGTTTCTTGGTCCAAATGGACTTCATGGCCTATTGGCCCACATTGTAAATTCCTCCTTTTTTATTAATATATTTCAGTAGCTTTAAAATCCAAAAAAAATATATATATCACTTAAAAATTAAACTCATTTAATTCTTAAAATAAAGTAATAAATTAATAATATATATAAGGAATTAATATATAAATAGAGATAGAATCTTGAGAGAGAGAGAGAGAGAGAGAATAAATAAAGAATAAAAATAAGAAAAGAAAAATTATATTATAGTGAGAGAAAAATAAATAAAAATTACAAATATGAAAAGAAAAACATTACAGAGAAAGAAAAAATAAATAAAATACATAAATATGAATATTATGTATAGAAATGAGGGATATAATATAAATAGAAAAGAAATAATAGAAATATGAATATAATGAGTATTATATATATATAATATGTGTATTATATATATATTATTTATAAAAAAAAAAAATTAATTAATACAAATAACAAAGTAACAAAATAAATTATTTTTAAATTAATTATTTAGAAAGAGAGCCGTTAGAGAGGAGAGAATAACAAAATTTCAAAATTTTGTTAATTAATTACAAAAAAAAATCCCTGTACTTTCAAAAGTGTGCAAAAGGATAATGCAAAAGGACATTTTGGGTAGTGCAGAAGGATATTTTTGGTATTAAAGTCCAACTTTTGCTCACATGCACGACACATGGCAAATTTGTTGGTCAAAAGCCCTTATTTGTAACTTTTTTTAAAATAGAGAGGTCAATTTTATACAATAGGGGTGTTATTTGCACATTTTAAAAAATAGAAGGATGTTTTTTTGCACTTACCCCTGGTAACATCTATTAATGTCGCTCTGCTTCTGTTTGTTCAGGATCTAGTTTTGTGTTTTGATTCCCTCCCTAGGGCTTGTTGGTAGAGGTTGGTCTCGTTTGCATTTCCTTTGAGAAATTGTGAAATAAACTAGCAGCGAAGCATAATTGTATAATATTTTTATAATAATTATTAATTTGGTGCACGTGGTAAGGAAGGATTGCATAAATTTGATAGTAAATCATGAGGTGTTTTAACCAAGAGGCCTCATATCACCATCATTCACCAAAAAGAAAATGGAATTAAAAAAAAAAAAAAAAGTCTCAGACTGAAAACAAAACAAAAACAAAATAGTAACTCATAATAGAAATTAATAAATGAGGATCACATCACATTCATACAATAACATCAAACACAAACATTGTAAAATTGCTTTTAAATTTACAAAAGCAAAGTACTTGAAACAAATATTTATATTATTCAGAACTAGAAACACATCATTCTTGAACATCCACACGTACATATAGCTGAATAAAAATTCATTCACTTAACTTTGGCTTCAGAATTCACCCCAATTATACTGGAACAGTCCTATTCGAAGCAGACTGATCTGCAGCTGGATCCGAATCATCACCCTCATTCTCACCTGACAATTCTTCAAGTGACTTCCCCTTGGACTCAGGCACTAAGAAAGTGAAAACCATCCCCAAGAAGTTGACACATCCAAGCACAATAAGCGAATTCTTCACACCGATACCGGGTGGGTATCCAAAATCTGTCAAGCTCTTATGCTTGTTTTGTGAAGCATACAAAAACCCGAACGCACCAACTATGGCTCCGGCCTTCCCAGCTGCAGCCGATATGCCATGGCAAGTTGACCTCAGCCTAGCCGGGAAAATCTCGGCTGGCACTACAAATGTGGTGGCATTAGGCCCAAAATTGGCAAAGAAGAAAGTGAAGGAGTACATTACAATGAATCCAATTCGGTTAGGTTTTAGTGTCCAGTGATGGTAAGGAATGGCGAGGCCAAACATGAACACTGTCATGAAGAAGAAACCCATGAGTTGGATGGCGAACCGGCCTATAACATCAATGAAAGCCACTGTAAACCAGTATCCCGGGACCGTACTGAATATTGCAATTATGGTTTGTGCCCTTGCAATCAAATACACCTCATGAACTGCATTCATGGTCTCTGCTTTCGGAATCCACCCAATTGCACTGAACACATCCTTTTGGAAAAGGTTCTGACTGTAGAAGGCAATGTCCAATAAAAACCATGTGGAAGTGGTTCCGAGCAAGTGAAGACCATGACGACGAAGAAATTCCCTTGAAAACAACCCGAAAGAATTGTTTGGTTCTTGAACAAACTTCTCAACCTTAGCCTCTTCAGGGTCAAGTTCAACTTGTAAAACCTTAGCCATGTCCTGAGCAGCTTGTTTAGCATTCTTGGCCACCAGGGCGGTGTAACGGGCGGTTTCAGGCATCTTCATCCGCCAGTAGTAAGTTAGGAGAGCCGGAAAAGCCCCGAACATCAAAATGAGGCGCCAAATGTAGTCTGCTTGTGGCACAGTGGAGCCAGCCCGATCATCCTCGTAAGCCGGGGCAGGATAACCATGATCAAATGCAGCAGACACAATCAGACCAAAAATTCCTGCTGCCAGGATTCCGAACCCTTGCATGGCGAAGACAGCAGCTATGAATGCACCACGAGTCTTCTTGTTGGCATATTCGGACATGATAGTGGCTGAGAGAGGATAGTCACCACCAATGCCAAACCCTAGCCAAAACCTGAAGAAGCACAGTGAGGCCATGACACCCCTACGGGTCTCGCCAAAGGAAAAACCGGAGGCCAGTGAGCACACAACCATGAGAACTAGGGTCATGCCATACACTCTTTTCCTTCCCATTTTGTCACCGAGCCAGCCGAAGAACAGCTGCCCGGCTAGGGTTCCGACTAGGGCGACACCAGTCACGGAAGCCGCAACGCCGGGTGGTAAGGTGCCTGGTTTTGCGCGATCTGGATGGAAGTAATATATGCGTCCCAGTAACTTGGTGACAAGGGAAATGCTGAACAGATCGTAAGCGTCTGTGAAAAAACCCATTCCTGCAATCACAATTGCAGTGAAATGGTACAATTGGGTTTTGGCCACATCAAGTGCATTAAGCACTTCCAATTGTTGTCTCGGCATTGTTAGATTTTCTCTCCTTCCAACAGTTCTTCAAAATTACCTGCATTAGAAGAAAAAGGTGATTAAAACATACAATCTCTTTTTTAGGTCTCAACTTCTTAAGCTATCAATTGCTAATTTTATATATACAAGTCATCAAAATGTCGAGTAATTAAAGAAAAAGAAGAAAAATGCATATACACAAGTACATATTTATTATGTTTTTCTATGATTGAAAAAAAGACAGAATTTCAAGGGGAGAGATTTTTTTTATTTGTTTAATTAATTTTAAGTCGTGCTAAAATATGTTAGGAGACAGGAGCCAAGGCAGCAAACGTGTGAGAGTATTTTCTTTGCTAATACATTCATGGACAAAATTAATCATTTGATAATTACCAAAATAAAATATTAAAAATACCAAAATAAAAACTTATTCGTTAATTTTTTTTTTTTTTTTTTTTTTAAACAGACCAAGATATTCACTGAACATCCTAAATTAATAGCCCTGATGTACAAGTTTTTATCATCCAGGAACAAACAAAGAGAAAATTTGGTGTACAATGTCTCTCACTCATATAATTTAGTATTTGTATCCAAGGGACAGAAAAAAAAAATGATATTAGATGCTTAATTTCCGAGTACTACGTACTATATTGATTAGTAGGTGGATCAACTACCAGGTCGTCAATATTTTACACTTCAACTATATAGGTCGTTCATAATATATATATATATATATATATATATATATATATATGAGTATATTAATTATGAAAGATGTTTGTGGTGGAGTAAGTACTTCATGTGAACATTTCACGAGTGGTTATAACTTGCTGACCTAAAGGTTAAAAAAAAACTTGCTGACTCATCCTAGTGATACATACATTCATACAAAATATTCGTACATATTTGGTTAATTTTTAGAAAAAATTACATATAAATGGAGTTAAAGTTTTATATTTACTTAGAAATTGAGTCAAAGTTCCATATTTCTCTAAAATGGATTGCTGAGGTGGCACATGGTTTTTTACTGTTTAGAAAATTGTGGTGCCTAAAATGCCCTTCCCTAACAAAAAAGTAGTACCTTCAGTTCAAAAAAGTAGTACCTTCGAAGAAAAAGTAGTACCTTCGCGGAAGGGTATTTTAGGAACCACAATTTCTAAACAGTAAAAAATCATGTGCCACCTCAGCAATCCATTTTAGAGAAATATAGAACTTTGACTCAGCCTCTAAGTAAATATGAAACTTTGACTCCATTTATATGTAATTTTTCTTAATTTTTAGCTCTCTAGAAAAGTAGAGAGACTTGGGGACTCCGCAGCCGGTTTGTCAAGATGCATAGTAGTCTAGGTCTCATCTTCCAAAAATTTGTAAATTATTTCCACTCGGGAAGGGCCAGCAAACTATGCCGGCCGTGGACCACAATAAATCCACTTTGTGTATTTAAGGTTCAAGATCTGGAAAATATTAATTTCACTTTTAAAATAAGTATGTTAAACAATAACTTCAAAGTTAATCAAATTTAGTTAACTAGTCCACTTCATATATTAATTGCTTCACATGGAAATTCATTGCTTCACATGGAAATACATTGAACCTTATATTGAACTAATACCTAGCTAGCTAGCATTGCTAGTTTCATTTTTGACTATGACTAAAACTTATTCAACGAAGAAACAACAACTTGAAGCATATGTACGAATTCCATATACTCCTATACGAAAGGAGCTGCGGATATATGTTCTTTGGAGTGGCAAATCTCGAATTCAGATACACTTAGACAATTTAGTGCACACGGAAGGATGGAGATAATATAATTATTATTGTATGTGTGTGTGCGAGGGAACTTGGTAATTGTTAACAGTGGTATTAGCTAGTCCCTGGAAGTCCCGTATATGGAACAGCCCTTTGGATGACTCTAATGATCTGATACCTGAAAAGTGTCTTTATATATATATATGCATGGTTACCTTTAATGAAAAAGGGAAAGCGCCACCCAGAATTTGTGGGGTGTACCTAAAGTCTAACATGGTCCAACTAGGTTTGTACAATTGTATTCCAATTAAACCAGTTCCAATGATCAAGGAATTAACCACAATTATAGAGAGAGAGAGAGAAAGAGAAAGAGGACGTACCTGCTCCTTGGATTTCACTTGAGACAAGAAACTGGAGGAAGAAATCTAGGGATGGAGGAGATGCAGTTTAGTTGGGGTAGTTGATGACTGCAGGATAGGTATTTAAGGGGGCATCGAATGCTTGGAAAACAAACACCAATAAGAATATGCAGCATACAAAGGTATATACCCCCTTTCATTTTGGTCAACCGCTTCACATTGTTTGTTGCTTCTTTTTTATGAATTCATTAATTCTCAGCACTTGCTATACAGCTTCCTAACAATTTAATTAATTATTATAAAATGTATAATATAATAATACTACCATGAGTTGGCAACTATAAGCTTGCTTATAATGCTGTTTTTCCACATCAATGCACAATCATCTCCTTAATAGTTAATCTTTTGACCAATCAATTCAATTTAAAATAATTGGTTTTATTTATAAAAAAAATCAAATTATAGAGATTAACGATCCCCTGTCCTTTTTATTTATTTATTTTTTTTGTTTTGTGTCACGGAGATTGTTACCCCCTTGGTCACATATAACGTATGTTACAAGGCAATATCAAAGCTGCACCATAATATTATATAATAATAATAATCTAAAAGAATAAAGAGAGAGCTTGTGTCATAGTGTCCGAATATCCCATCATGGTCGTCATCATTATCAATATAATCCTATTTATATTTTCTAATTAAAGTCAGAAGCCCAAAGTCCATTTGATAATTATGTTTAAACAGGGCTATATTACTCATAATAATATTCCTTGTTACCAAACATACAATAGTGAGGCCATAGGCTCATAGTCATAGCTAAGACCAAGTCCATGGTCTACGTAAAAAATACAGTATTAATGGAAGTGGTTGGGGGAGAAAAAAAATATGTGGTCACATCTGCAAGAGACCATAAAGGGTTGTTCACTCAAATTGGCTGTACGAACATTTTGACCCTTGTGGAAAACCGAAGAAGCTTCTTTACCGTTGAAGGCCCTTACTGTTAAGGGCCGTTATAATAATCCATCGTATGGAAACTTGACCAAGGGTATTTCTTAATGGCTGAGGTGATGATGTTGGAGATGAATATAAATATAAATATAAAGGAGAGATATTGTTTGTTTTTTTTTTTTTTTTTTTTTTTTGGACAAGAGTTCTTATTGAGCTCTATTCATTAAAGACTGTAACGTATATATATATATATATATATATATATATATATATATATATATATATATATATTATGTAGCAAGCATTACTCATATTACACACACAAAATTTGGGTTCTAACTTTTTCCAATAATGGAGGAATATAAAGTGGGTTAGAAAAAAGAAGACAGAGACATGGCAGTAGGATACATGTATCAGTCTTTCCACGAAATATACTGGTAACATAGCAAAGACAATGATTGGGTCATTATATATATTAGCAATGTTTAATGTAAAATGACAAGTCGGCGAAGAAAGAAGTTGCAAGGAAAGTAACCAGAAGTTACAGATTATGTTTGGGTCGAAAGTATGCGTACGTGTGTGTGATGGATTTGTTTATTCTCTACTTTTTCGAACCATACATATGGAGTGATGATCAAGGGTTATGTCCCCAATTCAAAGGGCATACCTGTATTTCACCCCTTTATCCTTATCATTACAGCAATAATTGAATTTAATTTATACATAATATAAACATACTTCAATACAATGACTTTTATTATATATGTCGCCCACTAGGCAGCTAATGGAGTAAATGTGACAGCTAATTATAGATTTAGACTTGGATTTAGTTCCAAATTGATCCAATAATTTTTTTTTATAATAATTGTCATGCACAAAAATATTGGAATTCTTTTTTGAATAGTTTTGTATGATGTATTAAGAAGGTAAAATTTAGGAGGCAATATTTATTGTTATAACACTTCATCATAATATATAGTATTAAAAGTTTAAATGTTATCTCTGTCCTAACATGTATAAACAATGAAACATTGATGAGACCCGTGAATAGATCCATCTACTCCACGATTAATATGAGAACTTCTTATATTTTTTATTTATCCAAAAAACAACAAACTACATTTATTTTATATTATTTATTTTTATACATTCATATACTCCAAAAAACATGCCCAAGCGGGACCCACCATGATTACTTTGTTTGGACAGTACTGGCTTTATTTTTTTGTTTTTTTCCCGTACCGGCTATTTCTGTTGACAGCCATTTACGGTGATTTCACAAATTTGACATGCAAGAATGGAAACATAAGTGTTGAGTTCTGAGAATAGTGATTCACATTTTGTTTTCACGATTTTTTATATGTCTATTTCTTCCTTCATTTATATATATTTAAATCTTCAATTTATAATATCTCAATTGTGATTAGTCTTTTTATACTAAATAAGTAGAATGATTTAGTCACATCAAGACATGTAAAATAACAAAATATGAATCAATATTTTTGTAATTCTACCATTGGTTACCAAGAAAACGAGTAACTCTCACTCTAAAACGTCAACCTTGGAGACAAAAAAAAAGCATTAGTATTGAGTTATTGTTCTATTAACAAAATGCACTACATAAAATCCTTAGAATTAGGAAAGGCTTTAAAACCATGAATCAATTATTAATAAAATAGGTTTTTGTCAGGTTATAAATGGAGTGTTCTCACAAATTAAATAAAATCACGTCACATTTTATTGTCCAGCTAATTTTTGTTTGCTTTCGTTTGTCGTATAAAATGGTTCAGCATTTTTCCGGGACAAACAAAGAGATGTTTAGATTTGATAAATGGACAACAATGTTGTCTCAGTCAGTCTTTAACCGTGAAAGAGAATACGATGATAAAGAAATGGCACTGTGAATATGAATGTGAAGAGGGACCAAATGTACTGCTGCTAGTAAACCCAAGTCAATTTAACGTTGTCGTCAAGTGGGAAAACGCGTGACAGTGGCTTGGCCCCACGCGGAATGAATGACAATCAATCACGTATACTCTATCTCTATATAATATATATATATATATATATATCTGTGTTTGTGTGTGTATATGTGTGTGGTATCAGCTAGTAATTGTACATTGTGTTCCCCATTAGTCAAAACTTAGGTGGGACGAGGTTTGCCCTGCCTTGTCTCTAAAGGGACACATAACATTCACAAAGGATCCAATAATCATCCCAAGGGTCTAAATTTTATTTATTTATTTATTTTACATGGATGATGGTGACCCGTGATAGTTCTCTAAGGGCCAAGCTCCACGAATATCAAGTAATTATAAAGAATTATTATTATTATTGTTCTTTTTTGAAGATCTCAAATCTGTCATAGATTCATAGCTCAATACCACACGAACGAGACTGTAACAGGATTAATTATTTCAAAGTTACAACACTTTGGAGTCTTTAAATTTTCCCTATATTTAAGAGTCAAATATTAATGATAGAAGTTTTCGTAGAGGTACATGTCTCAATAAGCATAACGGAATTGATAGGGATTCAAGAGGCAAGTCTTTGAGATCTCTCTTTCGTATCGCACTCTTACCTAAATGGTGTGTATTGTGGGGCCAATACACCTGTTTAAAAAAAAAAAAAAAAAAAGTGTTTATAGAGGTAAAGTGAATATTTGCGAAGTTGCCAAGAAATAAGAAAAATCAAGAGACAACAAAATTAATTAATGCAATTACAGAATTTGGTTTTTGATTGAGTTCTTTTGCTTCTTATTATTATTATTTTTCAACAGAACCCAAAAGAGGCAAAGCGTACAAGGATCACTCTTTGTGAAATATATCGAGAAGCCCATTCCTATTGGGCTAATTTTCGTTGTTCCTCTCCATTGGGCCTATATATGAGGAGTTTCTCTAGCAACGGTTCTCCATTTGAATTGCCCTGGGTTTGAGTCTTATTCTAATCTCGGCCTTGTGTCTTATTTTTGTATTGCAAATGTAATGTTTGGGTTGAGTCTTATTCTAATTTTAGGCTTGTGTCTCAAATATTGGGCCTGGGTTTACCTTTGTGTTGCAAATGTAATATTTGGGTTGAGACTTATTCTAATCTAGGGCTTGTGTCTCAAATATTGGGCCCGGGTTTACCTTTGTGTTGCAAATGTAATGTTTTGTTAGCTTGGGCTAACCTTCGCAATTTATGGGCCTGTACAAACGTTATACTATCCATAAAATTGAAATTCACCTTTCAAAAAAAACAAAAAAAAATGTTCATCACGCAAAATTGTGGTAATAACCAACTGTGTTTCACAATCAAGCAATTTAAATTTTTTTACAGAATATTTTATATTTTAATTGATTTTGATTAATTAAATATTGGCAATACTTTTGTAATGAGCTTATTTCGTATTAGGGCACTGGGCTGTGAGGTTGTGTGCGCACTATGCAAACAACACAACGCTCATACAAAATGAGTTCATATCTGAGATAGAGAATTTAATTTCAGGTATAATTTCAGGTGTGCCTCTTTCCCTCGAGGTATAGTACTTGCATCATGTAATATATATATATATATATATATATATATATATATTTTAGTAGCATGTTTTTTATACATATTTTAATTTTTGTTGAATGGTTTTGAAGTGAAGTTATTTTGGGTTTTATTTTTATTTTAATTTTAGTTAAAAAGGTAAAGTTAAATTGTATAATAATATATTCTGTATAGTATATTGTATAAAGTATAGGTATTCTTACACATGATAAAATAAAATAAAATTTCTTTCTTGACTTGCTCACATGACGCTCTGATTTGGTGATAATAAGATTATATTGAGAAGATGATGATAAGATCCAACGGATAACAATTCTCTCTAGGAAAGGAGAGGTCCTGTACACCCACCAACCATTGATATGACATCATTACTAGTGAAATTCAATCCAATAATTAATGGGTGTGGAGTACTTTTCATTTCTTGAAAATGATCCTTGTCCAGATCCAACACTTAACGTAAATGAATCATCCATTTCCATCCCATTCTTTAACAATCTAGACCATGGTTGTCGAAAAGAAACAAAACAGTCTTCTGAAATCTGCAGCCTAGATGTGTGGAATTGAGCTAAATTAGCTAATCTAATGGAAATAAGAGTTATTTCTCAATTATTTTCTCTTCTACATTATATATTATTAATCGATCTTCCATTGCATTAATGAAAAATATTTTATCCATTAAATTATTTGAGATCTAGGTTTTGCTTACGTTTTCATTTAATTTCAGTTCATGT